CAGCCAGACAAGTACCCACAAGTCACCTACTACAGGACAGATCCAACAAGGAAAGCTACAGAACGCCACTAGCCATTACCTGGAGCCCCCAGCTCGAACTTCTCCTATAAATCATTAAAGCTCTGCCACCTATCCTAGCTGGCCATCCCTCACTCTCACAGACCCCGAGAGACAGGCCAGTCCTTACTTACAGACAGCCACCCCACCTGAAACAATTACTCACCACCAACTACACACCCCACCACAGAAACACTGGCCCAAAAACCATTGCCAACAACAAACCCCATTGCCAACTCTGTCCACACATCTATCCTTGTGTAGACCTAACCCCGTCAGCCATACCATCAAGGGTTCATTCGTCTGCACCAACTGGACCAAGCCCAACTCAATCATCCCAGCCAGGGCTTTGTCAAGCCGGGATGTAAAAATCTCTAAGGAAGGAGATTCCACCACCACCCTAGGGAACCCATCCCAGTGCATCCCCAGCTTCCTAGGGAAATAGTTTTTCCTAGCATCCAACCTAGAGCTTCTCCATTGCTCCTCATTCTAACATCTGCCACCACTGAGAACAGCCTCTCTCCGTCCATCACTAATGTGATCTATGCCATCATGTGCCAGCAATGTCCCTCTGCCATGGACAAACTGGGCAGTCTCTATGCAAAAGAATAAACAGATTCAAATCAGACATAAAGAAGGGTGACATACAAAAACCAGTAGGGGAGCACTTTAACCTCTCTGGACACACAGTTATTGACTTTCAAGTTGCCTTTCTTAGAGGGGGAAAAACCTTCCAAACCAGGTTGCAAGGTGAAATGGTTGAGCTGGAATTCATATGGAAAGCTGACATTGTCAGAGTGGGTGTGAATAGAAATATATAATAGCTCTGTCATTTCAAGAAGCAATTAATTTCCTGTTCAGGTCCTCTCACCTGTTTATCACGGTTGGAGGTGAGCCACATCCACCCTGATTTTATTAGCACCGATGTTACAATCCCATCTGTGTATGTCTTTTCTCACCTTATGCATCTTCGGAAGTGAGCTGTATTTCACGAAAGCTTATGCCCTAATAAATGTGTTGGTCTTTAAGGTGCCACTGGACTCTTTTTTATCAGATTTTCTACTTCTGTATTTTTCTCAGAAAAAAAAAAGAAATCTTTTACTGACAAATTTCATTCAACTAAAATCACATGGAGCATTTCTGCTCTCTTTTCGGGGATTTAGTACTCGAAAAAAAAGAGCAAGAACATTAAATACCAAACTGAGAGCAGCTCAGGTCTCTAAAAACTGCCCTGTGTGCAGTTAGTGACCTAGGGAAGAGTTTTTTCCATTTATAAATGATACTGGAAGACTTACCTAGTGTTGTCTTGGTCTGTCAGGGCAGGGGGTTGGTGGTGTGGGGGGTGCAGAAGTCAGTGCAGGGCCTTTGGGATGTGGGGGGACAGTGCAGGAGGGTGGGGGCTGCAAGAATGAGGGTTGGTGGGTGAAGAAGGGCTCGGGGCGGGGAGGGTCCCAGCCAGCCTTCAGAGGTCTTTTCCCTCCCCCCAGATCTCCTCCAGCTGCCAGGGGCCTTTTCTCTCCCTCCCTCAGGTGCTGTGTCCAGAGGCTGAAAGGGGGAAAAATTTTGAGGCAAGAGACTGTTGGGGAGCCCTGCCTCAACAATAATGTTGTTCCTTGACTACAGAGCAGACCCCGAAAAGCAAACTCCAGGCCTGCATCAAGTCTGGTGTGCTAAAGCACGCAGGCAAGGCAGGGAAGCTGTGCGAGTCAGGAATTGTTTTGCATAACAATGCAGATTAAGCCTGATACAGCAGAGAGTACATCAAAAACATACAACAAGCAACCTTGGACTGCTACTTCTGTTCTGATAAGCAAAAATTACAGAATACAGGCATGAAACTGTTAATTGCGCATATAGTTTTAGCAATATCCAGAGTGGTAGAATGTATTCCAAATATGAGCATAATAGGTGCCTTATACAATACGTAATTACCAATACGTAATCAATTGGTAGAGATGATTAGAATGACCAAGTTGAGCATAAATATAGGTGTAAAACATACAATGGCTGTGCCTAGACTGCATCCCTTTTCTGTAAAACGGATGCAAATTAGACACATCGCAATTGCAAATGAAGCGGGGATTTAAACCCCCCCCGCTTCATTGCCACTTTTTTCCGGCTCAGAGCTTTGCTGGAAAAAAGCACCAGTCTAGACGGGGATCTTTCAGAAAACAAAGCCTTTTCCGAAAGATCCCTTAGTCCCTTATTAAAATATTTTAAGAGGAATAAGGGATCTTTCAGAAAAGGCTTTATTTTCCGAAAGATCCCTGTCTAGACTGGCGCTTTTTTCCGGCAAAGCTCCGAGCCGGAAAAAAGCGGCAGCCATGTTTATGCAAATGAAGCAGGGGGGATTTAAATCCCCGCTTCATTTGCAATTGCGATATGTCTAATTTGCATCCCTTTTACGGAAAAGGGATGCAGTCTAGACACAGCCAATCAGTGGAATGGATGCGGTAAGGGGTCCCCACTACCTTACTCACTGCATTTAAGAAGTTGGTGCCTGTTCCTACCGGCAAATGCATTGGAGATGCCTCTATGCGAGGGACATCCAGTTGTCCTGGCGCAACCAACCCCTGATCTTGCTTTTAGTTAGGAGAAGAGGAAGCTGCCTGCTAAATTTGGTGGTCCCAGCTCTAGCAGGCTGGGGAATGGACAGGGGGAGCGTGTGAGGGTGGCAGATGAACAGCAGTGTGCAGAGACCACCCTCTTGCCAGGAGCTGCTGCCAAAGGGGGTGCTTCAGCTAAGTGTGATGCCCCCACCAGCTGCACCTGTCAGGGGAGGACGCAAACCCACTGGGCGATGGGGTAGCTTATGTGGGGCTCCCTCAGCCTCCCCTCTTGAATTTGTTCTACTGCATAAAAACATTCAACCAGTTCTTAAGCAAATGAGAAAACAACTCTGTAGCCTGGTGTCGTGCGTAATCCCAGGAGACGTGGGAGACACAGGATCCTTCCAATCCTCTTGCACCTATGGGTATTTACACACAGCATTTCCCCATTTATGAGGACTGACTGCCTTCATGTGTCCATTTAGGAGTCCTACATGTCCACTTTTTAATGACCCATGAGTTAAGGATTGCTGGCTTTTATAACAAATCGCTCTGGGAGCATTTTGCCGTTGTCCTAGGAGGCTAAAGTGGTCAAATAGCTTTGCTGCGAAGGGATCTGACTTTATAACTTCCTCTTTACTGGTTGGAATACAAATTCACAGCTAAGGTGTGGGAATGAAGGTTGGCTGGTTAGGGCTCCAGTACTGGTTTTTATTGCAAAAAATTAAAGAACAACAAATAGTCTAGCAGTACCTTAGAGACTAACAAAACACATAAATGGTATCATGAGCTTTTGTGAGCACAACCCACTTCTTCAGATACAAGGAGTTCAGGGGTCCGGTTTCCAAATAAACAGGCAAGAAAGAGAGGGGATGGGGGGAAAAAAGAAGAGAACTATTGTCAATTTGAATGTCCATGCTAAATGAAGCCAATGGAGCGAGTACAAAGTGCTCTTAAGTACCCAATGTTTGGGTTTTTTATGTCATTAGGATGTTAACGGGTAATCCAGTTAATGTCTTTGGTTAAATCTCTATTGTAGGTTTCAAACTTTCACTGTTTTTATTATCAGAGGAGTAGCCATGTTAGTCTGAATCTGCAAAAGCGACGAGGAGCCCTGTGGCACCTTAGGGTACGTCTAGACTACCGCGTTTTGTCGACAGAAGTTTTGTCGACAGATACTGTCGACAAAACTTCCGTCGACAAAGAGCGTCCAGACACATTGAGTTCTGTCGACAAAGCAAGCTGCTTTGTCGACAGAACTCCGTAGTCTGGACGCAACGTTACAGGCAATAACACCTTCTGTCGACAGAGTTCTGTCGACAGAAGGTGTTATGCCTCGTAAAATGAGGTTTACCAGCGTCGACAAAACTGCTGAGTTCTGTCGACAGAACTCAGCGGTAGTGTGGACGCTGGTATAGTTTTGTCGACAAAAGTCCACTTTTGTCGACAAAACTAGGTAGTCTACACACACCCTTATAGACTAACCAAAGTGTTGGAGCATAAGCTTTCATGGGCAAAGACCCACTTCATCAGACTGCCATGCATCTGACTAAGTGGGTGTTTACCCACAAAAGCTTTATGCTCCAACACTTCGTTTAGTCTATAAGGTGCCACAGGACTCCTTGCTTTTACTGTTTTTATTGTAGCCTGGAGCAAAACCATTATCCACCCACTCTTAATCCACGCAGCTGATCTAACAACCCTTTATCTTTGCCATTGTAACTCTTGATTAGAGCTTAGAAACTGCAGAACCTCTACTAAAAGACTTCAGCAGACGATCAGCTATGCGACAGGTGGTAATGGAGAGAGTCATTAGGGCTAGCCTGGAGCGATCTTTCTCGCCTGTTTCCTATCACGTCCGCACTTGCACATGGTGGGTGTATACAACACGCAGTCTTACTTATTTTCTGCCAATCAGAGTTTTACACTCCTTGTCTTCCTATCAGCGCTTGGCTTTCCTGGTGAGCCAATCAGCGCTCGCTCGTGCCTATATAAAGATCCGCTGGGCACAGCTTTGTCTTTACTTATTTTCGTGAAGGCGGTAGGCGAAGGCGAATAGAAAAGGCGCTGTTGGGGGGTGGATCTGGTTGTCTCGATGGCGAGAGCAAAGCAGATTTCTTCGAAGTTATCCACGAGGACTGATTTCCGTAAGAAGAGCGGGGAAAGCGCTTTACCCCTGTCCCTGGAGAAAGCGAAGAAACCCCGCCGTGGTCACCTTGGTTACTTATTTTCGTGAAGGCGGTAGGCGAAGGCGAATAGAAAAGGCGCTGTTGGGGGGTGGATCTGGTTGTCTCGATGGCGAGAGCAAAGCAGATTTCTTCGAAGTTATCCACGAGGACTGATTTCCGTAAGAAGAGCGGGGAAAGCGCTTTACCCCTGTCCCTGGAGAAAGCGAAGAAACCCCGCCGTGGTCACCTTGGTCCGCAAGCGCCGCGGCAGAGCCGTCGGTCTCCGAGATCTCCCGAGATGTTGCTTCCTCAACAGCCTTTTCGGCGCCTGACCCACGCGCTGGTTCAACGCGCCGAGAGCAGCCGCCTGCGAGTCCAGCCTCCCGCCTACCGCGCCCTGCAAGAAGCCGCGGAAACTTACCTGCTGCAGTTGTGCGAGGCCAAGCGAGTCGCTGTGGGTTCCAGCGATGTGCACCTCGTGCGGTGTCTGCGTGGGGAAAGCGCCTGAGCGGCGTTAATGCGGAGCGAGATGATAGTGACACTTGGGCATTAAGTTTTTTTTGGGGGGGAGGAGGAGAATCCTCGCATCTCTTAAAGTTATTTTTTCTAAATCAGACGCACTTTTCTGTTTGTACGTGGCAGTGTTTCATGAAGTGCTCTCCTATAAGTTTTTTTGGGGGGGGAGGAGAATCCTCACATTTCTTATAAGTTCTATTTTCTCAATCAGACGCACTTTTCTGTTTGTACGTGGCAGTCGATCCGTTTTCTAGAGCACTGTCAAAGGGGACTGAATGAAGTCTGCCTACTCCTGTCCTTTTGGCTCTCCGGCCCTTCCCCCCATCAATTATAAAATCAGACGCACTTTTCTGTTTGTACGTGGCAGTGTTTCTGTCTTTCTTTTCTGTGTCCTGGTTTTTCGAGACTATAGAGCAGGGGTAATAAATAATTAAGTTGCGTATGGGGGAGAGGATTGATCCGTTTTCTAGGGCACTGCCAAAGGGGACTGAATTAAGTCTACCTAATCCCGTCCTTCTGGCTTTCTCCGGCCCCTCCCCCCATCAATTATAATCTTACAGGGGTTAGTTTGAAGTAAAATATTTCATGGAATGAGCAAGTAGATACACAAATCTGCTGGAAATACTACACTTCCTCGAACATTTTATGCATCGCGTTGATGATTTTTCTACCTGCTGTGCTCACGCAAGAACCGATGTACACCCCCTCCTATCTTCCCACCATGCGTTCCTGTAG